TGCAATACTGAGCCTCTCAGGCAATGCAGTTGGTTTCAGGGCCAAGATACATTGGGGGTGCTGGAAGGACACTATACAAGTGTAAGAGTATAAGATAAAATAAACAGAGTATCTTCCATTTTGTTCCTGGTGCTTGGAGTTCTGTCAGCTTGTTCTCTGCATCCAAACCTTCCCTTCTTTTTCCTTGAAGTTTTCCAATAATCAACCAGTATTTAAAAAATCCCAAAAAGCAAACCAAAACCAAAACCAAAACACAGCTGTTCTTAGAAGTTGAAAAAAATAGTATTCTGTTAAAGCTGCAACTGCTTCTCCAGTGTTGCTTCTGTAGTTGCACTTGCTTACATTTGCAAAATTCCAAGGGTCTTCTCACCAACAGTGAATGAACATTGAAATAGAGTGAACAGGATCTTGTATCACTGGATTGTGTTTTAACTGTCATTGGAGCTAGGGCTTTTCTCAGCATCCACAAAATCTCTTATGTTAGTAGTGGAAATATTTTTACTTTTTCCTAGTGAGATCCTTACTAACAGTGTTAATTTTCATTGAGCCAATGTATCTCATGTGAATTTTATCTTAACTTTTCCACAAATGTTCTATAGCAGTGGAAGAACATTTCTGTGACACAGTGTAACCGGACCTGACAAATTAGAACTTCAGAGTCACTACATGCTATTGCTTTAGTATTTATGAGGCACGAGCCCATGCAGTGTTGAGAAGCTACAGTACAGTGTGTGTCTAGATAAATAGCTTGTCTATGTATGCTGTATGGGCATTGGCAATTACAGTTGGTTTGAGACAGCTATGATAAATTGCAGAAACATGGGTAGCCTCCGTTCCAGAATTGAATGTGTAGTGCTTGAATATAACATGCAGAAGTCACAGCGGCTACATTCATTTCAAGATAGATGTAATGCGCCAAAGCCATCCAGATAGTGAAAGCAAAGCCGCAGCTGTCATACTAAAAGGGAATTACTGAGCTTTATGGATTCTAGATCTGATGACACCCAGCCACCATACACTTGAAATGAGTGCCAGAATGGTTATTTCATTGCAATTCACAAGAAAGTTGAAGGTTGCTGACAGCCGAGTATCTTGGCTTGAACCATGACCAGCAAAATATAACAGTAGCAGTCAACTGTTTGGGAAAGGTCAGAGAATACCCGTAAGATCTTTATGGTTCTGCTGTCCATTTCTGTATGAGCAACATACCAAAACTGGCTGCAGCCTACAATTTACAGTTAAAATAGCATGTCTGCTACTCTCCAGCCTGCCTGAACTCCAGTGTTTCCAGTAAAGCCCTGAACATGTTTCATCACGATTTCCCTGGCAGTTTGCTTCTGTCCTGGTCCAGGGAAAGCTGTGTGTGAGAAAATAAGAGAGCACAAGTCTTATGAGGAGCAGCTGAGGGAATTGGGGTTATTTGGTCTATAGAAAAGGAGGCCTGGGAGGGACCTTATTGCTCCCTGCAATTGAGTGACTGTCATCTCTTCTCCCAAGTGACAAGTAACAGGAAGAGAGGAAATGGCTTCAAGTTGCACCAGGGGAGGTTTCAGCTGGACCTTAACGAAAGATTTCTTCACCAAAAGGGTTGACAAGCCCTGGAACAGGCTGCCCAGGGCAGTTGTGGAGTCTCCTCTTTTTCCCCTCCATTGGCATGGATCGATTTGTCTTAGAAGCAGTCTTCTGTAAACAATGCTCAGAAGTGACTGATATAAGCTGTCCCAGGTTTTATTACCCACTTTCATACAGATACCATCAGTGCAGTACCAGGATACAGTTAACAACATTCAGGCAGTAGACAAACAGTGCCATCAACAGAGAGAGAAACAGGTAAACCAAGAGCCTGTGGCACAGTCAAAAGAGCTTTCAGAGAAGCGTCTTCTGTAAATACAGGACTTTAATGAAGTGTTTCACTATTTTACAGTTTTTGTGGCAGTAATGGGTTGACTGATATTGACAGGATGCACCTGTGCTCTTTGCTTTCAGGTGGACACTCAAGTGCAGATGCCATAGTGCCACAAAGGTGTCTTTTAAGGTTGCCAAAGTACCCCAAAGGCTTATGATTTTAGGGGATTTGTAGCTATTCTGTAATTATTCTATTTAGTTAATACAAAGTGAAAAAAAAACTCTGGAATATTGTGGTTGTGACAATCTCTTACTCCAGGCTGAGTAACTGTTTATCTTGTCTCTGAAACTCTGTGGTAATTTTAGTGCTGTCTGAATACTGCACTTTAGTCTGACCTGAAGTGTAAAAAAAAGCCCAAAACCCCAGCTCCCGAAGCCCCCAAAACAACAACAACAGCAACAAAATCCCCATGCTATATTACGTTAAAATATGCAAGAAAATCATCTACTCTGGGTACCAGAAAAAATAGGTATGTACTAACTTTGCTTTGTGCATGTTTTTAGAGGCCATATTAGAGACTGTATATTACATTCCTCTCTTTGTAAATATAAAATATATATATAAAATATAAAAACACTGTAACTCTGCAGTATAATACCTCATGCTATAAATCACTATGCTATATGCCTCCAGACCTACAGTTAACTGTCTGAACTTTTACAGTGTCCAAGTTCTCACTATTGCTAACACTGGTTCTGAGCTTCCATATTTGCCATTTCACTCCTAACATAACAATAGCAGAGCTAAGAATACTGAAGCTAAGCATCCTACTGCAACCACCTGCACATGAAATACCTATTTGTAGAGGTAGGCAGGCTTCTGCAGTCTGTATATGCACACATTTCTATAACCTGGCTGAAGGGGTCAGCCAGTTAGACTGTGATTGTTGTGGGTTCCTTACAACGGAACTAAAAATTCCCACAGAAGAACTAAACAACAACAATAAACAAATATCATTCCCCTTCCCACTGCCCCCCAGTTGAAGTTAAAACACTTGAAGAGATCTAAAAGACTGCTCAAACCTTTGAGGTGGTGTGGGGAATGCTCCTGTTACCCCTTCATTTAATGAGCAGAGGTAACAGGGATAAGTAGTAACAGGTAGATTGCCTTGTGGCAAAACAATGCATTTTAACTGCTAAGAAAGAAACAATGCAAACTCCACAGTGAAATACAGGTTCGTTCCTGCCAGTTCTAACAGACATAGAGAGATACAGATAAAGAGAGAGAATATAAATAAGGGAAGTGAATAGAACAGGTTTTATTTTGGGGCCTCAATAAATCAGTCAAGTGGGACATACACAATTTCTTTAAGCTTTTTGTAAGCATGGCTATTCTATAATTCATACTGCCTAATATGCATGAAAGTATTTGTGTGAATGTGAGTTGTCCTTCACTTTTAATGAGAGAGTTTTAAGAGATGTCTGTCTAAGGAGCCTCTGGTGCTTACAGTACAATGGATCAATTTCTCCACAAAATAATTATAATAAAATGCTCTGTAACCTAGAGACAACAATAAACTGAGTTATCTACAATAGCTGCAAACCATTAATGCCTACAGAGTTCATGGGTGGGCAGCTCTCATAAGCTGGAAAACCAATTCAGACTCCTTGCACCAGAGATACATGAGGGAGTCAAATAAAGAGGATATTAGGGAAGACCCTTTTATTCCCTATATCACTGTGATTTCTCCTCAGTGCAAGCTTTGGAGGGCTGAATAACAACTATCTATTCAGTTCTTGAAGTCTGTTCAGCAGATACCATCATTACATGCAGTGTGAAATGGTATCGGCAACTGCATCTCATAACAGAACATGAATAGATTTCTATTCCTGTGTAGATAAACATGGAAGAAATAGCTTTAATTTAAAGCAAGTAAGAACTCCAGCACTAATACTGATATTTATTATCATCCTCATTTACACAGTGCTATTCATCTATGATAAATAAAGGTGTAAAGTTCTAATATATAAAGCATTTAATAGTGCTTTACACAGATGGATAAGCATAATTTTCTATTCCTATATTGAACGCTTTTCACTCTTTTGGCCAGCTTTGAACAACTGGACAGCTTCTTTTGGGGTGGTAGACACTTCTGCTGGAATTTTTCCTGAAGAGATTATCAGATCTGAAAATTGGGTCTTAAACTGGTCATAGTGAACTCTCCTGATGACATTGTGCCTTGAAATGGCTTCCTGAGTGCCCTGGCACTAAGCACCTAACAAGAGGTACCTCACTGGAAGGTTTTTCATACAGTTCCCTGAAAGTTTTGCCTGTGTGAAGACAATAGGATTTTCCACAGAATTGACTGTGGTGAAATAGCTAATATAATTACATAATGAATCTATCTCACCAAGGAATTTTATTGAAGTAGATGCTATTATCACAACTGTCCTACTGTAGGCTTAATTACAGATTTAAACTAACAGTGTGTGTGGCTTTAAACTAACATAGTAAAATACAGTAAATGGTTCTAACTTGCTAACATGTAGAGAGAAAGGTATTTCCAGTTGACGGGGGAAGGAACATCACAGGATTTATACCAACTATGGAGACAGTAAACAAGACCAAGGATGCCAGCTTTCAAGATAGCAGAGTGGCATCCAACATGGAGCAGAACAGAAGCAAAGACATACCAGCTGCTAACTCAGCACTGGGACCTTGCAAACATGAGCAAGGACTGAGGTCATTCAGTAAACACAGTGAGCAACCATCAGAGACCCCCACTCAGCAAGAAAGAGCACATGTAATTAGGATGCAAATATTATAATTAGTTCATGGAAATATCATGAATATGTAAATAATCTCATGGAAAATTTGTTAATATGCATGAATATGCTAAATATACAGCTGCTGCCGGCAAGTAATGGGGGCATTCACCTTTGCAAAACAATTTGCATGTGCACCCAGTGCTGCAATGAAGAATGCTGCTCTCTAAACTCCAAATTGAGTCTTAGAGAGTTTCTCTGGCCAATTTTTACAGTAGCACTACATGGTCCTAATGGCTTCATTCAAGCATTAGAGGTTTTGGAACTGGATTTTACAGTATGGGAAATTATATTTTGAAATTTGAAAAAAATATGAAGAAATTACAGCTTCAGTTTGAATTGACTTGTCCCATGAAATTTGGTCCAGATGTCAAGAGTACCAGCTGGTTTTGCTTGAGGTAGTCTTGGGGAGCAAACAAACACTCATGCTCAGTTTGTTCTGGCTTACTGCTTAGCTCCATTTTCAGATGAGGATGAACAACTCTTGAAGGCAGTTTCACTGTCAGGCTCATCAAGGCTTTTTGGCTGATCTCCATGCTAGTGTAGTCACTCAAGAGTGGTACGGTAATGGAAATGATTCCCTCTTTTTCACTTGTTACTACTTCTTCAGGGATTTCTTTCTGCTTTAGGCTTATGTCTAAGTTATTGCTAGGTTCTTCTGACTGGTCAGTGTTACATTTGCTGTCTTCTCCACCATCTGTAAAGAGGTCTAACTTCAAAGAAGCCTTTGTCTCATGCTCGATGACATAAAGACTGGTGGTAGCATTGTCTGACAGGGCCTGAAGCAGTGACCTTGAAATAGGTTTCCAATTAATCTGCAAAACAAAGCAGGGAGAAAGAATAGTTTTAGTGTCACAGAATCATAGAATAGTTAGGGTTGGAAAGGACCTTAAGATCATCAAGTTCCAACCCCCCTGCCATGGGCAGGGACACCTCACACTAAACCATCTCACCCAAGGCTCTGTCCAGCCTGGCCTTGAACACTGCCAGGGATGGAGCATTCACAGCTTCCTTGGGCAGCCCATTCCAGTGCCTCACCACCCTAACAGTAAAGAACTTCTTCCTTGTATATAATTTAAACTTCCCCTGTTTAAGTTTGAAACCATTAGCCCTTGTCCTGTCATTACAGTCCCTGATGAAGAGTCCCTCCCCAGCATCCTTGTAGGCCCAATACTCATATGTCATACTTTCGTGAAATGCAATTGTCAATTTACTGAAATAAATAACAAAAAGATAAGAGACAGGCAGCCTGATCCTACCTATATAATATGGTAATACATTTAATCTCATCTTCATTGATTTTAGGAAATTGAGGGAAAAAGATTGATTTCACTAACTCAGAGGACCATCTTCTCCTCTCCCAAACTAAATAAAGTTTTTCTTGCGTTCATGTGTGATTGGGACGAAATGTAGTGATGGTAAAATGTAGGCTTCTATTCTGCTATTCTGAAAGTTTAACAAACGTGTTACTATAAAAAGGTGGCAGCTTGAACTGTACAGCAGGTGAACGAGCTTTATCTACCAGCTGCTGCTACTGTTTTTTTTATTCAGCTTAATGCCATCTTGTGGTCCAAAGGTTAAATGAGTACCTTGGGTTACAAGTTTTTGCAACTTCTACATGATTCAAAGGAGAACAGTTTGTAAAACTTCTTTTCCACTTTGATCGTTCTGCTGTGTTTGCCCACTTTTGCCAAAAAGTTCTTTAAATTATTGCCAAGCTGGTAAGTTCTCTGGTATAACTATTTGCTTTCTTTTTAGCGCTTTTTTTTTTTTCCCCCTCCTCAGCTGTTCTAAATTTGTTAAAATTGTTATGGTTCTTTTGCAAGAAATAAAATTGTATTGGTTTTAATTTTCTTTCTTTTTACAATTTGTATTCTAACTTGGAAATTAGTATGCTATTCTTGGAATTCTCAGTAATCCCACATAAAATATCTCTATATTTCTCTTGTAATGGGTTAAGTAGACACCTCCGCATGGTCAGATTTTGCCTTGTTTTAAATAAGGACCTGTGTGATATGTACCTCCATTATTGTATTTATTATGAACAGCAGCCCAAACTCTACACCTACCAAATCTAAAATAAGCTCTGTGTGAGCTTCTGTCTGAAAGAGGCAATGATGGATGAAGAGAAAGCATCATCTTTGAAGAATCTTGTCTAACCATGAAGAACAGGACACTGACAGGGTGGCTGGCTGTCCATCTTGGTCCCTGTAGTTCATTTTCCTGGGCTCTGCGTCTGACTGAATGGAGAGGGTTCCCAATTCTTCCTACTGCTCTGTACTGTGGGATGTTATCACTGCCTTTGGTTGCAATAAAGAATGCTCTGTGTGGATTTAAAGTACAAATTTTCTTGCCACCTCTCTGTACTATATATGTGTGTCTGTCAAGAGCTGCTACATTGCTCAACTAACCTGATGGGGTTCAGTCTTGAAACAACCTGCAAATAGAATAAATATACAGAATATAATAAGGTTTACTCCCTGCCTCCATTTTACAAAGCTCATTCTGGGAATACTTTTCTCCACGTTTCATGAAATGTTCATAATATCAGATTACTTCTAGGGAATATGTCTGGAATATATCTTTATTGTACGGTCTTCTCACATAGACTTTTTCTGCTTTCCACCAAACTCTTACCTGATACCTGTAATTTCTGTTTCTGCTGTGTTATCAACCTTACCATATTAATCTACCAGTCTTGGCTAATACAGACTTCATTTTCTTTTATAGTTGCTTTGCTTCTGTAGGAATAGCTTAATGCATTTTAAACAGGTGTATTTTGCTCTTGGATTATTTGCTTTTGAGCTACAAGTGCCAAATAAAGCTCTGGCCTGCCAGAAAAATCAAAGCGATTTAGAAGAGGGAAGCAAAAATATAATGGTTGGTGGTCTGAGACTCGGGAGATAAACTGAGGTGCTTCTTCAGTCCTGAAATTCAGGTACCTTTTCCAAAACACATGTGAAAGCCATGGGCAAGATTTGAACAAGCTTCTGAACCATGGTGTCTGTTGACTAGTAGGTGGTCCTCAGCCAGCTACCAGCTGACCAGGCAAAGCCCCTGGATTGCTCTTAAAGCAGGTAGAGGCTGAAGGGTGAGAAACAGATATCACAAAATACCGTTTACACGGCCTTCACTGGGAGAGTTCTATGGAATTAGGCTGCAATGTTAATTTGTATTTTGTGTAACTTGTACTTAATTATCGGTTCTGTTGGTGGAAACTGACTGGATAGAAAACCTGAATTTCTCTCTTTGGTTTCCATCTCCACCCATTCAACTTGGCTTTGTTCTTCTATCAACCGTACCTTTTAATACACTCTATCCTGTTCTAAACAAAGTCTGAGAAGAGTTACGAAATTAAAAACTGCCTACAGCCTCTGGCTAAACAACACTAAACCCTCCCCAGTCCTGTATTTCTAGTATTACCGTAGCTTCCCAACTGTTGATATTAGGCATTTGCTGGGGTAAAGTGTGAAAAGACCAGTAACTAGCATTACTGATTAATCACTAGAAGGATCTCCTTTGTGTATTTTTTCACACCATCAGAAGAGCACTTGCCATATTTTGGAGTGCACTGCTGTTTCTTGGACTTGGTACACTGGGCCAGCATGATATTTTCAGCCTGTAAAGAAATATTTAAATTTATTTTCAGGTTAATTGACGTATTCTGTTCATTTAAATTAACTGCCATTTATATGCAAAATTTTATTGGTATTTTCATAATCATAAGACCAAGATGTTCTATGATGACTATTAAGCATAATGCCAATTAAAAAGAGAAGACCAAGCTTGGTAGTCTACACCGAATGCTGAGTTAGTGACAATTAGAATCTTTGCTTGAAGACAAAGGAGCTGTGACAGGAGCTGTTAATGTCTCTTTCTATACATTTAATCACTGTATTTTCCTAATTTTCTCATTTCCACAAAACCTCCGTCTTCCTTGAGGACTTTGGGACACTCAGGAAATGTTTGTTTTAGTAAATATTTGCTCCTGGGCTTCTGCTTAGAAGCTTACTTTCCCTCCAAGAAAGAGCAAGCAAGCTATTGCTGTTCTTATTTTTGGTGCAGTGACACTGGTGGTCTTGCAGAAGGTCTCCCTGGTACCTTCAGACCAGAACAGGGGTACATCACAGCTCCTGCTCTTTCCTAATCATTTTGAATTTGGCTTTTTCTGGGAAGGGGTTTGTAAGGTAGAGCTGAGTTTTTCAATAGAGGTGTTCAAATGAGTTTCAGCTGGCTGAAAGGTCTTCCATCAGAACCCTTTTCTTCATGCTGCTTCATTGCATTGAAGGGTCCAGAATGAAAACTGGCAACAAGCTGCTATGTTCTCCAGCCACCTTGATCCCCTGCCATCATGGGTACTATCTCAGGCATTGTCCTCTGTGTCCCTTCCCAAGCAGACAGGCTGCAATGGTGACCTGACTATTATTCCCACTGCCCTGGGATTCTGGTCCTGGCCCCAGTCTGGGAGGGTCTAGCTGTAATTTCCCTATGGAGGGGCAACAGAGGGGTTTGATGGGAATTTCAGAAGGAGTTTCTGCTGAGCTGACTGGTCCCATTGGCACCAGTTCACCCCTGGCTGCTCATGCATGGCTTCTGTGGGAGTGGAAGAAGATAATCTCTTGGCATTTTTGAGGTGATCTCCCTGTCAGTAGCTGCTCTCAGAACACCGCTCTTTGAGTTTTGCCCAATGACTCATGTCCACAGGCAAAAACTCAACACAGCTGTGAGACTGTGGGAGGCTGTGTAGCCCATCACCTTGCCTTAGTGTTGGCTTCAGTGTTGCCTGGTTTTCAAATCAAACCTGGATTTCATTAGCTGAAATGTACTTTGCCTCTGTTTAGCCTGTGGTTTGAGGTGAAGCCTGAGGTTGTAGAGTTACTGGTTCTCTGATCTAAGTGAAACTTCTGTGTAAGTCTCAGAAGCTGTTGTCAAAGACACTAGATCAGATGTAAAGCAACTTAAAGCAAAATCTGAAAAGACAGTGGACAGGTGTCTTAATGTGGAATGCAGCCTGTCTCCCAATGGCAAGGGCAGGAGTTTAGCCTGATACATAAGCTGAAGTGAGCTATATCTTGCCATACAGTTTTCAAGCTATGGTTTGTGCCATCTATCTGTTCTGTCCTTCAGCAGCTGTGTTTTCAGCTTCTGAGGCTGGTGCTTTATAAAAAGTAGAAGAAGGGAGTGTAATGTTCTAGGACACCAAAACAATAGTATGAATAGCTGTAGGAAACTAGGCTTATCAGAAAATGAACATTAGAACCCATTACTATGCAAACCATTTTTCTTATATGCCCCTCATATTGCACCTCAGATTAATTTGAGGGATGTGTATGTGTATACTTTATTACTACAGAGAACAACATCTCCAAAAATAAGAGGACCTCATCCATATCTTACTATGGATGAGGCACCCTAGTTATTCTCTTTTCTTCCTACTCATCCACCTATTACTACTTCTCATTATGTGCTTATGTGCATAATTCATACAGTTGACATCCAAGTGTGTTTGCAGGAAACTGCTTAGATAGCAACATCAATTTGTGTATGCCACACAATGGAATTTCTTTTTGTATTTCAATAGAAGAGATGATTATCAGTTGGGAATGAAAGTGCAAAATAATCGAATGCATGCTTTTTCCATATATATAACCCATTTCCCACTGTGAAGAATGGTCCTCACTCTTTTCAAGGGTGTTTGAGACAGGAGGCAGTCAGATAACGGTATTAAAAGTGAAAGATTATAGATTTTGAGAAACTAATTTAATCAGCTTATAGTAGTTTGCAATTGCTCTTACTTTGTAAATGCATAGTGTGGTGTGGCTTTTGTGTTGTGTGCTTTCTGACTTGGATTGCTTTTAATGACAAAAAAGGCCCAGTGCTATGAAACTCAGGGTAAAACAAACTGGAAATGCTGCTAACAACTTCAGTCAATATTCCCTTACCTTTTAAGCAGCAGAGAACAAGTGAGAGGTGCAAAAACCAGAATGAATATTGTGCTGAAGCAAAGGCCAGTCACAAAACCTTCAAATTCTCCTTTATCTGATGGGAAATAGAGAGATTGAATCAGCTTTATGGTATCAAGTATAGGAAGACTATTTGCCTACCCAAGAGAAGTATTTCAAACAGAAGTCAAACCTTACACATGTTCTGGGGTGCCTGTAAGTGAAACCTAGTTAAAACAAGACCCAAGTTTTCTGGGGGGTCTGAGGCTTTCAGGTTTGTATTTTTAAATACCTAGATTTATGTGCTGAATTATTAACCCTGCTATTCAAAGACAAACACGTTACAAAACCCGAAGTATTCCTAATCCCGATGCTATTAGGTGAGCTCTATGTTGTTTAACATCTCAAGACCCTAATGAAGGTCTGACTTCATGAGAAACTAGTTGAGTGAAAATGTTTTTTAATCTCTTTCAGGTTTTAGTAGCAGGGCTTGGGTGTTTGGGTGAGATCCTACCTGGTCCTGATAATAAGAATATGGTTTGTGTAGTTGGTAGGTGCCACAGTTTCCCTGTTGGATACATTGTGACAATTTTATCTGCAGTCAGTTGTTTGTCAATCCTTGCTGCAAACCTGCATTTCCTATTGCCTATGTTAATACCTGTTTGAGATAACTTCTCATCGCACCCCCAAAAGAGATAAATGAGGTAAATTGCTTAAAACTTTGCTGAAGGTTGATAATGTCCTGCTCACTGTGAGCAGGGACAGCAGTGCTGCTCACACAGGAGCCAAAGCAATATGCCGTCTGAAGAGTGGGTTGGGTTGAGGCATTCTTTACAGATAGCTAAATCAAAAGGTTCAGAGTAACTCCAGGAAAGTGTGGTCAGTATGCGATTGTGTTGCAGATACTGACAAGCCATATTTGCAAAAAGGCCGCTTGCTTTTCCTTTTCCTTCCTACCTACCAACAAAACTTCTTTTTTTTCAATGAGCTACTTAATTATGCTTTAAAAGGTACTTGAAAACCTGCAAATTGCTTTGTTGCTGAAAAAGCTTTTATGACAAAGAAACCTGAGGTTGTTTTAATGGATTAAGTAACACATGGCATGTTGGGGAGGTGTAAAATATTAAACATAATGCTTAAACTCAGTGTAATTACTTGAATTTTCAAAATGTTGCATTAAGTTAACTATGCGTTTTTGTAACTTCCTTGAAATATTCAATCCTATCCTCTGTGTGTTCAATATCCTGTTCTATGTGTTCAATAAGATACATGGAATGAAGTCCTGCAGAAAAGCTGCCGTGGAGACACTTTCATTTCTTGTGTTGAAGGGAGAAAGGATTGGGGGTGTGGGGCAGAAACTCTTGATTCCAAGAAATATTTTTAATTTATTTTACTTTTCTTTCTGCTTCACCCTTTTGACTATTCAGCTGTTTGTATTTACACCTCCATCACTTAATACAAAAAAGCTGTAGCCATTTTCATACTTCTGTCTCTGAATTTCACAGGTTACTTTTCCTGTGCCTGATATCATCTTAGTTTGCTCTTTTATTGTCTTTTTTTGTTTAGAAAGCTCCAATTGAATGAAGCTGTGGTAAAACTGAAAAAAGTCTACTGCAATGTCAGATTTAGTTTAGTTTTAGCACCTGATAAGGTGCTAAAAATGTCTGAGAAGCCATGCATAGGCAACCCTGTATGATTGCAAATTATGAGACTTTATAAATGGAAGTGTATTGATCTTAGCCTATCCAGGCACCCTTGAAAAATAAAACTTTTGCCAGCAAACTGTAGGGCTTCTTTGATAAAATGTACTTAAATTATTAAAACACAGGATACTTTGATTAGCTGTCACCCACAATAGGAGCAATTGAAAAAGACTTCTATTTTTTAATTGTTAATGGCTTAGGGAACTGGAAACCAATTTTACATGATTGCTCAGGGGTTTGCCAAGAGCAAAGACTAGTGAACCTCCTTAGTCACAAGCAGAATATTTAAAATGCTGAAATCTATGACAGGAGTCAGTAATAAATAAAGGTATGTGCATATAGCTAGCATAAAGAGGTCAGAAAACATTTCAGAGATGAGGAGATCCAGCTAAGTCTTTCCTGCATGTTAGGTAATGAAGTACAGGCAGAGTTGCTCTGTGATGCATAGTTTACCTGTCACAAAGGAACAGCTTTGTGTGTTTGCAATCAGTAATTAAGGACTGAATAATAAATCTCCTGCATGAGCACTTTGTTACTCCCTGAAAAGTGGGAAAGAGTAGAGAATAATGGCATATATAGTGCATAATGCAAGGATTGATGCATAGAGCTTCCACGGTACCATATTTTGGAGTGCTGAAAGGTTGTGAATGAGTCGGAGGTCCTTCACCCACATTAGTGAATCCTGAAATCTGCACACGGTAACTGGTTTTTTCCTTCAGTCTGGTAAGACGGTAGCTTGTGGTAGAAGAATTGAGAGTAACAACTGAAAAGCAAGAGGGGATGGAGAAGATGATTAGATGAACTCTGGTGGCTGGGTCTGTATCAGTGTACCTGACTGGGGAAAAGGCAAAATTTCTGTGCCCTAATCTATATCTGGAGGAAGCCACACCTTGCTGATGTTCTTCAGATGGGTACAAGATTTCCCAAAAATACTTATGTATGTTTTAAATCTGGAGGTAAAGTGCATGAGCTTTTAACACACAAAGGATGTTTAGGTGGTGAACGCAGAAGGCAGTGTATACTGCATAACAGGAAAACACACCTAACAACCTGAACAGTGGTTTTCATGTTGACTGTAACAGTTGACATAAGGACTAAACCCTATCACATGCTTTACTTTCACTCCAGTAGTCAGTAGTTGTTCACCTTAATTAATACCAGTGCTATTATTATTCACTGCAGAAACAGGTCTGTTTCTGAATAACAGGGCTCAATGTTTTTATTCTGATCATGTAGTGACTTTTCCCCTAGCCAGAATAATTGAACAATGATGCTGCAGTACACTGTAGGGCAGAATTACTTTTCAATTTTGCCACTGTGAATTAATGATCTTCATAGAGGTGGAAATGGTGCTGCAGCCTTGTAGGCTTCCTTTCCCGAGATTCTCTGATAAAATTATTCTTTCTGCCTGGGAAACATGGAGGAGATCAAGTGTTCATGTCACAGAGTCACAGAAATCTTAGGGTTGGAAAAGACCTCTGGAGATCATTGCAAAGGGAAAAAAAGCCTCATAATTAAATCCAGCCCTGGACACTACCCTTCTGTCTCCTTTTACACATTCTTACAGGTATTCGGGTGGAAGAGGGACCCCTGAAGATGGTGCTTACTTGAAGCTTTTGTTACTTTTTGTGCCCTCTAAAGGCTTAGGCCAACATGAACTGTAGAATGCTTGCTGTTCTTTGCCAGGTCTCTGGTGCTATTTGTCTCCCATAGCACGCCTTTAATTTTACTTGAAAGTCAGTATGTGCAAAGTCACACACACACACACACAGTATGTTAGAGATTGGAAGGGACCTCGAAAGATCATCTAGTCAATGTATTATTATTTATAGCAAGAAGACTTTCCACTCAAGACCAGAAGTAAAATGTTTATCAAAAGGAGTATGGGGATTTTTTTAATTATTTCTTTTTTAACTCAAGTGGTTTCAGCTCACAATTATTAATTTATTTCAGTGTGTAGATGTTCCATCATTTGTAGACAAACACAAAAACTATTTAAGACAAAATTTCTAAAAATGAAATAAATAATAGTGTCTTTGAAAACAGGTAAGAAATACAAACTATATTCCCTTCTAATTAAGTTCAAAAAAGAAGTGTATAATTTCTTAAGTCCTACAGAAAATCTCAGTTGAGCTTGTCTGTGTTGCAATGAAACATAAAAGTTTTGTGACTGAAGACTTAACAGCTCAGAAATACTGACAGCATGTATCTTCCTTTCAGTGTTACCAAAGAATTCTTCAGTCGGATAATTAGAATTTAGAACTGTAATTTTTAAAGAAATATTTTCTTATCAATATTTAATACAAGATGATACCTAAAACACTCTTAAGTACTCAGAGGACCATCCTGAACATTAAAACTATAACCAGTAACTGACCTTTGAGAGGGCTCAATTCCCACAGAAATGTAAGGAACTCAGTACTGTGCCGCAACAGCACTTAATCAGTTGTACGTATCTTTTCTGTCATGACTGATCTGCTGCTTTGTTCTGAGCAGCAGTGACTTACCCAGAGACTTTTTCCTAGATGTGTCTGTGTAGCTGATCCTGTATCCCTGGAGAAAGCCCAAACAATCTTCAGCAGCTATTTGGGTCCACTTCACAAGTGCAGAATGCTTTGTGATATTCAGGATTGTCACATTAGCAGGACCTGTCCTAGGAACTTAAAAATCAGTTAAGAATTTAAGCTGTACACCAATACTTCTGCAATAGACATACAAGACTAAAACCTAGCCTCTTCCTTGACAGCTCTTTGCCTGATCCTAGTTGTCATAAATCTAACATCAGGGTGAAAGATAAAGGAGAGATCTCAGTGAGTAAAACCCCCTCATCTTAAGTAATACCAAAGTAGGTAGAAACTGTAACTGTCTCACTACTCCAACAGCCACAGCCATAATAATTTCAACTTGAAATATAAGAGACTTCCAAATTGGGATTGGAAAATCTGACTTTGAACACAGTTACTAACTCTGAGACACTCTTTCTGTTATTTTGGTAATGTCTTATGTAATGATAATATTTCTGTGTTCTGTCAGTAAGGAACAACATTCAGGTCATTCACTGCCAGAGCACAACTGCTAAAACTAAAGGCAATGCTAACTGGACAATGCTGTTAAGCCACCTGGAAAAGAAACTTTATGTAAATTGATGCAGATAGGAAACAAGAAGAAATATGAGAGATGAGATCATATAAATGGGAGGAATACCTCCTTCAACTGAGTAAAAATGGGTCACTCCAAAAGTCTTTTCATGTCCTGTGAAACTTTCACACTGACACACATCCGATGCATGTACCATTATTTTGTACAACTTAAATGGCTGAAAATTGTCTGGAAAACAAATAAAGGTACATCAGAGTTCATTGAAAAGTTAGAAATTACAAAGAAAAGCAGGAGAGAAAACAACTTGCAGTTTTTCTGTATAGTTCTTACTTTCTGAGATTCAAAATGTAGTATAGGTTTATGGTGTTTTACACTGACTAACAAATATGTGCATCCCTCTTTATTGTCTCTAGATGGTTACTACAAACATTTCAAAAGCAGAATGAGATATAACATAACTTTTCTTTTAAAAGATGCCAGACCTATTTGTAGTCTCTCTCTGAAAGGCTTGAGCTCCTAAAGGAGAAGAGGGGAACTAAAATGGCTGTCATTATCTTAGTGCAAGGACTGGTATTTCCCCCTCAGCCATCATATTTAAAAGCAAGCAGAACAACTAGGTGTAATGTGGCAGTGTGGATGTTGCAGAAGGACCAAGGAAAAGAGTGCATTCATTTGTAGAACTCTAAAGCTAAGTGCTCTTTACGGTACATAAAAGCCAGTCCTGCATGGCTTTTGCAAGTGTCACCTACATGATTTTAATCAAGATTTTTGATGATTGTCATGTAAATGATCCTTGGCTGCAGCTCATCATGCCTACCTTGGTCAGCAGAATACTGGAGTTGAGATCTTAGGTTTTCAGAAGGACAGCCATTGGGGTAAAAAAAATAATCTAAGGGAGACTAAAGAGCAGTTCATAGTTAAAGTTAAGCTTACCTAGACACAAGAGAAATATTTTATTTTTGCTTTTAAAGCCGGTAGTGTTTAGGTCTCCTTGGGATGTGGGCAAGGAGAGATATCATACCAGCAACAGCAGCTTACATTTCTTGCCCAGCTGTGACCAGAAGAATCCTACTAAAATGTCCACATTTTCTCTGACTCGGTGTTACTAAAAATTGGATGATCTCAGTGCTGGACAGAGATAAGAGTTGCACTTATCTGTGTCTTCAGTTTGCTTTTAAAAACAGGGTGGTTGCTGTTACCTAGTGTGAAATTTCCAGTAGCTGTAGTTACTATTTTCATGCGCATATCCTCTTTACCCGTGCCCCAGTCAACCACAAAACATTTTGGATTGTATTCTGGAGTCCAGGTGACAACTGCATTAGTTCCCTGGTGTTTGACGTGGATTTGGCCAGGCATGTCTGTGAACAAATACACCATTAGAGATCAATAAACAGGAAAGCAGGTTTCTTTTCTCTTGACAGCTTTCTCTTTTTTGCTCTTTTTCAAAGATTATTCAATACATAGTTATCACTGCAGCTGATGTAGTAAGTTTTACATGATTAGGTCAGTGAAGGAAACTCAGCATCTAGTACTTTGCAATGGTGTCTGGGAATCCAGTATTAGTTGCTGTTCATGCGCTTTAATTTCCCAAAATTGGAAAAGGAGAAATGGCTGTTCCAAGCCTTAGGAAAAGGAATCCTGATGTTGCTGAATAACCTCCTGTGAGCCACTATTAACTGCTATACATAGACATAAAGCAACTGTAAGGTAGTGGTTACCTGGGGGAGGGGGAGAAGGGGCTAATTGAGGATTTAGCCATATAATTTCATATTCCATATACTTTGCATTTTCCCCAAGGATGTTGAACATATTGACATTTTTAAAGACAGATTATTTAAATAATAAGAAAGGCCTTCTGACTGAAACTAAGGGCACAGAAGAACAACCTGTCGTTTTGGAGTAAACAGTGGATCTTGTGACAGACAAGATCATCTTCTGTCTGAAAACCAGTATAATAAAGTCAAATTAAAGAAAATGGCTGTATGAGCTGAAAAGCTGTGCATGCTGAGAAGGAATGCATTTAATACAAGGATCTTCTGTTAACTCATGATAGATACAGCAAACCTGCATATAAGTACAACTGAGTCTGAAATGTGTGTCTGAGAAGAGCCATGAAAATCAGGCTGAGAGGTTCAGTAAACAAGTAGGTGTCAATCGAAAGATGGCTTGAGGTGGAAGCATGTATTTCATCAGAAGGGAGTGAAAGCAGTCAAACTTAGGCCATAACCAAATTGTTATGTCTTTGCAGGGCAAGGAGAGCAGAATGGGGGGGGGGTGTTAGAAAACCATGGAATCATGGAAAGGTTTGTGTTGGAAGGGACCTTGAAGATCATCTCGTTCAAGATGATGGCCACAGTTGCTCAAACCAGGTTGCTCAAAGCCCATCCAACCTGGCCGTGTACACTTCCAGGGATGGGGCAGCCACATGTCATTATATCTAGTCTGAATCTCTCCTCTTCTATTTTCCAAACATTATCCCTTGTCCTATTGCAACAGGTCCTACTAAAAAGTCTGTCCCTACCACTAACTGACCTAGAGAAGCTTTTTTTGTTGGCCTTGATGTGTCTGACCAGATTATTCTGCCAGGTCTTTAGCTTCACTAACATCATCCCTGGCTTGCCAGACAATTTTCCTGTATTCCTCTCAGGCTACCTGTCCCTGCTTCCAGCCTCTATAGGTTTCCTTTTTGTGTGAGTTTGTCCAGAAATTACTTGTTTCTGGAAAAATCAATGACTTGCAGCTGTCTGGAGACCAACAAAGGTGCTTGCACGCTTACACATGCTATAGGTTAATTTAAGAAAAAAGAAATAATTCTTACTTTGGAAGAGAGAGGTTTTCTTTTATTGCAATAGCTGTACATCAAGATTATAACGAATGAAACTCGCTTATATTATAAGAAAAACAATGTTAAAATGTTTTCTTGTTTAAATGAAAAAAAACCCTGTGTCTTTAGGCATCACAATAGCTTACATCTTCATTGGAATATGACAAGTACATTCTCCCTATTGCTCTCACCATGTACCAGCAGGGATAATACTGAAATAAAGGACAGTAGCAGGTCTCTTAATAGTTACTTAGCTTAAAAACATTGGATTTGCACATCATTCTGCAAACTTTGTTTAAACTGCTGGTATCTACTTAACTTTGATGACCCTCCTTTTGATAGGTAGATCTATCACGTAGCTACTTCTCTAGCTTGAGAAAATGGGAAGTGATGAACAAAATCTTAAATTGCTTGGTCTGTTTGTTAACTTCTATTGAAATCGTTTCTTAAGAAGCAGTACTGACTCTTGCTATGCAAAAATAACAGCCTAAAAATATTCAAGAACATACTTAAACCTGTCCCAAAGACTGACAAAGGGTAGATTACAGATTGCTCATAAAACCTCCCCACTGCTCTAATGAATGAATGATAAAGTAAGTACCTGTTGTACAGAAGTCTGGGACAATGTAGATGGCTTGAGGAGATTCTCCTGCTTGATTATAGGCAGAAATATTAACTCTGTAATAAGCCATAGAAATATTTACAAGAACTTCTCTGTGCTTTAGAAAGATGCGATTTGGTGAATCACTGCAGCTGTTGGGTATTCTTTCCACATTAATGTAATATCCAAGGATATTCTCGCTTTGTGTTACCTAGTAAGAGAAAAAAGATTATTATTCTATAAATATTATTATGTTCTGTGCAGAAAAATCAAGAGGGATTAAATTGTAAAACCAAATTGTCATCTTTGATGAGGGGGAGAGAATCATACTGTTTTAATTAGGTTATTGGGAATCAATGAAGCAAAGCATTTCCTTAAAATTAGGAGCAGACTTAAATTTAGGGGATTTAAGCATGGTATTAAGTGTTTTGCTTAATTGAGATCTTAGTTATGTGTATCCAATTAGTAATAACAGCAGTGAAGCAGCTGTAACATTCTGTAGATTTCAGTGGAACATACACCTCATAATTAGGAACTTGAAAGTTAATGAGAGGTGTTTAATTGCAATTCATGCCTCTGGGAATCTTCATCGACTAAATTTTGTTAGGCAATTGGTCCCTTTGAGGATAAATGCTAGTAATTACACTAAACTTCAGAACACGTTGTGTATCCACTGATACATTTTTAGGTGGCAATGGTTCACATGTTATTTTACTGTACTAATTTTTATGAGAGATTGGAAAATGAGCGCATAGAAATGGATATTACTGTGATCTAGATAGAAACTGAGCTTTATACATGAAGGCCTGTGAATTCTGCAAGGATTATTTCTGGTATCAAGATTGTTATTTCTTGGTACAAAATTAATAGTGTGAAGATGCTGCAAAGCTGAGAAATTGGGTTATGTTAATGAAATTATTGGGTGCTTTTGGAGTAACATAAACAGGATGACAATTTAAAAAGCAGAGACACCTGTGTTGAGAGGAATTTCTGATAAAGTTGGAGGTTTTTAAAATGGAAACATGTTTTCCCAGGATAAAGAGGGAAGAATTAGTGCCAGTATTTGAAGCTCTGGTAAAGCTGTTGGGAGAAGAGTGTTATGGTCCTCTCATCAGACTTTGAAACTGGAAAATGTTTCTGTGTAGGAGAAATAATTCCCAGGATAAGTGAAATTATGAGGTCTATTGCACAAGAAGAAACTAGTAGAATTTAGCCTTCTTAGTTTAGCAAATTGAGACCAGAAAAAGTTAGTACTGCTTTATATTGTGCAGTCCTGCAGGAGGTGCCAGGTGATGTGCAGCCATGAAAGCAACACGTTGCCTGGTCAGGTGCTTAGAGCTGAAGCCAGGCTGTTAACTGAACATTAGCAAAAACAGAGGAGCGATGGCTAGCTGAAATATCTCTAAGCTGCTTTATTTGTTTCAGACCAGCTTAAACAAGTATGGCAGCAGAGTTGAAGATTTTCCATCTACATTTAACATGTTAATTATTGCGTTCAGTCCTTCCTTCTGCTCCTTTGAGGTTTGTTGAAGCCATCTGGATTTGAACCCTATTTTGTATAACAGACTAGTATAAGTATTATCCTGAATGAAGATCCTAGCCCTGATTCTATATTTAATATTGTCTTTTTTTTTTTTTAACTAAAGCATTTAGATGGAGAAAAATTTATTCTCTTAACTTGACATTTAAATTGGCATGTACAGTCTATTGCTTGGTCACAAGATGAATAATTTAGTGTGCAGCTTTGCCTTTTTATGAGTAGATAAGGGAAAAAGGGGATCTCTTATGCTTATCAGAAGATGTCTATTTCCTCTGCTGCCTTTTCTTTCCTTTGACAAAAGTGCATGGGGTAACTACAGAACTTTCCAATTCTGATATTTTAAAACTCTGCCAGAGTCTGTCCTTTCTGTCAGGGATTTTCCCTATGTCAAACTTACTGGAATTTGTAGACACTCCTCTCAGAATTTCGATAATATTAATTAGTTTCCATGCAAATGCCTCTAGTACACCTTGTTCATTGAAATTGCCTGTGTGCCCATTGACTGTATATTCAAGTTGTTCATTTCTTACCAAGAGAACTTCAGCTGGTAATGCTATTGTAGTCAGTCAGCTGATAACAACTCCTGCTGAAGAAAAGAGCATGCCTCTGCTGCGTAGGTTTGAACTTTAAATGTCATTATGGGAAACATGCAGTTTGAAGCTGCTCTTACAAGCCAGAGACTCTTTTTCTGTCCCTATTATAATGTATTTACACTTCTGAATTAGTAAATTAGTAGACATACAAACCTTTTCTAAAAGGTTTTGGTCTCTTGAGAGTATGGATGCTCCTTATGAACATGTGAAACACAAGGTGTGTCACTTGTATGCGTTAAAGACTTAGGCTCTTTTTAGGAAAAGTGGCAAACTTGAGGCACACCTATTTTTAATGAAAGCTGGGAAAAATCTTTAGTCAATGATTTTGAGCACAGAGATTGCTGGTTTAATAATTTTTCAAGTTTATAAATTGGTGTGTTTTTTTCCTTGCTGATTTCTAGAACCTAGAACACCACCATAAAAATGCAGTGAATCCTGAAGTGAGACTACAGTATTCAATGCCTTCTGCTTATACAGTAGTCTCATTATGATGAGAAAGTCTATTTTTTTCCTACAAAGTAATAAATTAATAACATGGACATATAGAAGGTACTCAGACTCAAAGTGAATGTTACCTCCCACTTCAGAAGAATGCTTCTTCTGCCTGGAGCAATTTCTGTAGTTGCATTGTATGATATTCTTGGCTTGTTCATGAGTTCTGGTAAATGTGGAAAAAGATGGAAACATGCACTGATATAAATCAATATGATCATCATATTTTCAACAGGATCTGACAATGCTATTTCTATATATACAAGATTTTAAGAGGTTTTTACATTCATGCTTATTCCCAGTAGGACGAAACTATATTTCACTTACTGTGAGGGACCAAAATCTCTTTACTCCAAATGCAAACACAGTAGAGATCATCCTTGGCTATGCATCTAAGCTGAACAATGTATGAAGACATAGCATTTAAATTCGAAATGGTGACATTGACAGCACTGCTTTTGACAGGCACCTAAAAACAAATGATGTTTAATTTATGTGGCAGCAATAAAACATAATCTTGTATTAACTGATTTCTCAATCAAGAACCAGCCACCTGACTGCAGCCAAAAGTAGGGGTCCCTGTTCATCAATGAAGATTTACTACACATTTTAGCCAATGTCTTTTCACTCTTTCTCTCAAGGCAATACCCTTTGCTTCATGATCTGCGCAGTCACAATATATAAGCAACAATTTAGGACTAAATAGTGTTTTTTAAAATAAATTAAGCATTATATATAATGAAAAATAATCTTACCTAACTTACCTAATAAACTTGCCTTGTTGGCATTCTGAAGAAGAAGATGTTAAGGTCAAATTAAATATTAAAAAAAAATACCTTTATTCTCAAATGTTAATCTAAATAGATCTGTATGGCTGATGTGGTAAGGAGTGAGCATGGCTGAATAGAATGTGTGGCAGCCTATGCCTTAGTACCACAGAAGTGGTATGCATCTGCAGCTGATGACGGCACTGGACCTCCAGTAACTGTAAAGGGAATGGAGATAGTCTTCAAAGACACCACCTGTGTCTGAGGAAATACCTGAGCTGAAAACTATGGGAGCAAATATGATAGAAAACTGTTGCTTTATGCTTGAACTCTTTTACACTTTTTCCCAGATGTCCATTGGTCGGCACCATTAGAGCACAGTATCCTGCCTTACATGGACTTTTGGTCCATGTGTTGTAACATTTTTGGTAAAAGTGGTATTGCAGATTGAAATATTTGGTTTAGCATTTGTCTGCTGTAAAGTTTTGTTTTCTTAATGATACGTAATTCCTAAAAAAGCCTATCAAAGAACCAAAACCAAAACCAACAGACAAAAAAACCCCAAACAAAACAACCTAGCTCTTCTTTTTTTTTTGCAGTTTTTTTTTTTTTTAATTAAAATTAATTAATTAACATCTGGGTCAGTGTATTTACTTCTCCAACCAGACCTTTATTTCACATAACCCTCTTCAAGTGATAACCACCAGTGGCGGCTGTAATGCACCATCAATGAAGTCTGGATTCGGCTGCACCTGAGCTCCCCTCAGGAAGGAGTTTAGAATACAATGGGGGCTCTTCCTGAACCTCATGACTCAATGGGAAGGCCTCCCTGACAGTTTTGTCTAATCCTGCCCTCTATGCAGTAAATACTCAAGTGTACCTTGCCATCAAAACTTGTTAAATCACTATCACATTTACTATCAGGCTTTGTTAAATTGCAGTTTTATATCAATAACATATTGCTACTCTGTTTTGTGGATGAAGTGACACACTTCACTTGTAACAAATTGATTTATTTGATAGGTTGGTGAGTAGTACCACTGATTATTTATGGAGGTATGAAGTGAATCCAAGTCCCAGCTTCTCAGAAAAATGGGCTCATGACAATTGGTATAATTGGAAAGCTGTTGCCCTAAGCATTCCCAGAGCCATGATTCAAGGTCAGCCTGCTGAAGCCTCCCAGAAATTAGATAACTGTGAAAAAAAGGAGCCTATTATTTCAAATCCGCCAGCACCAGTCCTCAGTAAGTGACACAACCTCTTCCTTCCTCTTAGGGAGGAATTGCAGGGACTGAATCAAAAAACCCAGAGTAATGCCAGAAGGCAGTCTGCCTTCCTGTCTGGAAAGTGGAGGCTTATCAGGACGTAAGTGGTGATGGCCCATATGTATTTTAATTCCAGTTGGTCCTCAAGGACACTTGGTGGAATTTTTAATAGACAGGGGAGCACAAATTTCAATACTAACACAAGAAGATAGTATTGAAGAATATACTTCAGTATACTGAGAATATATTGAGAAGCTGGCCATTCAATCCAGATGGTTAAGATCAGTGGTCTGAAGGAAGCAAGTGTTGTATGTTAAACTGCCAAGGTGAATTTATGGCTCCTGGTCAAGAAGTGTATGGCACTCAAAAATTACTAATGTACCACAATAACTGAATTCTGCTGTGGCATGGATTGGAATTTCTGGAGATTTGGAGAAGTGACAAATGACATCCAGAACCCGTTCCCCATGTATGTCACCTGTCCAGTCAGTTGGAAACCAAGCAGGAGGTAGCGCTTAGCAGTTGACTGTTGGCACCTGAATGCTAATACATCTCTGCTAACAGCTGCTGTACCAAACACTCCAAACTTGCAACTACTTTGCAAGCAGCTGAAGCTGCACAACCATGGATGGCGGCATCAGATGTAAAAGATATGTTCTTTATGGGTCCCCTAATGTATGATAGAGGAGTTTTCTGTTTGGAGGGAGTAGTACATACTTTTAACAGCTTCCCAACAATTGCTCATGCCACACTTGCAGAACTTTTACAGGCAGTCTCACTCCCCAAGGATGTGAAACTGTAATGATATATAGACGATATTCTGATTGGAGGAACTTCCCCTGAGAAGGTGGCAAAAGCAGCAGCAGCAGTATGGCAAGCACTAAATGAAGTAGAAATTGATATTCCATGTGGAAAATGCCGGGACCAAGTAAAGAAGTAAAATTTTTAGATACTTGGTGGATAGCAGGCAGTGAAGTGATTGCTCCAGAAACCTTGAGAAAAACAAAAAAGCTGCCAATGCCCCAATCAAGGAAGGAGTGTCGTGGTTTAAACCCAGTCAGGTAATTCGTTCGCTCACTTCCCCCCCTCCTTTCTTGCCCTCCCCCTGCTCTCGGAGGGACGGAGAGGAGAATCAAAAGAATGCAACTCCCACAGGTTGAGATAAGAACAGTTTAGTAACTAAGGTATAACACAAATCACTACTGCTACCACCAATGATAATAATGATAAAGGAAATAACAAGGGAACAGAATACAACACCTCACCACCCGCTGACCGATAACTCGCCCCCCAGGCCCAACCAAGCTCCGACCGATACCTCCTCCAACCCTGCAGTCTCCCAGCCCTTCCGGCTAACTCCCAGTTACATCCTGGGCATGACGTGCTGTGGTATGGAATAGCTCTTTGGTCAGTTTGGGTCAGGTGTCCTGTCTCTGCTTCCTCCTGGCTTCCCCTCCTCCCTGGCAGAGCATGAGGCTCACAAAGTCCTTGGCCAAACCAAAACATCCTTGTTATCAGCTCTGTTCCCGAGCTGAAAGTCAAAACACTGCACTGCACCAGCTACCAAGAAGGAGAAAAAATGACTGCTACTGCTGAACCCAGGACAAGGAGTTACAACAATTAGTGGGAACTTTAGAATATTGGAGGAAGAATGTACTTGGGTTTTCTATCACTTCCCATCCATTATACTCACTCTCGTGGACAGGCAAACCCTGGGAGTCAATATTAGAACACAGAGAGGAGGTCAATTATCATAACACAATAAGGTTTCACTCAACAAGATACTTACAGTAACCTGTTCCAAGCTACCCCAGTGGGCCAAAACAATCTTTATTTTTTAGCTTAACCACATTTAAAGAAACAAAACAATGATACTCTGAATGGGAAAAGGGTGACAGGCTGCTCTATATTTTATTGTGTAAGACTATTAACAAATTTAGGATCTGTTAGAACAAGCCTGAGATCTTTGTGAGATTTGCCTACAGATTATCTGCATGCTGTGCCTCCTTGCTATTCATGTTGTGCGTGCTCTGCAGTAGCATCCTGTCAATGTCCTGCATATGTGATATGTATTGCTGTACTGATAATAAGGCACCTCATGTTCTCAAATGATTTTCATCTCTAAGTACATACCAGCGTCCACCGAGTGGATTCTGCGACTGCCTCTCTGTACCTCAGCTCATACGCTGTAGGAGTTGCAGGCAGGTCCCACTTTACTATCAGTTGGTTTGTGACCTGATGAGCATTTATGTTTGATGGTGTCAAGCACTTCCCTAAAATGAGGAACATACAGCTGTTGTAAATACAAGAGAAGGATGAAGGGTTTTGGTAATTATGTCTGTCAGGTGTGGTTTATAAAAAATAAAAGGCTTGGCACAGAATACTGAACACTGAAAGACTTTAAAAAGACTGAAAAGAAATAATTACTAAATCTTTATGGTATCAACAAAACAAGGTTGATCCTCCTGTCTTTCTTTTGTGAATGCTTCTACTTATTTCAGAAAGACTCTTTTTCTAAACAGGTGCTAACCTGAGTGAGTCTCAAAGGCAAAACAAAAATGCCAAGAGTACCTATATTTGTGGATTGTACAAAAAAATTTCCAGGACATCTTCCAATTTCAGCAACTGCTTTATCTATGCAATTTTAAGTGCAAATACATTTTTGTCTGCCTCCCTAATAAACACAAGGTGGCTAAAAGCCTCTGAGGAGGTCATAGGGATAATTTGGTTTGTACTGGTAGTTCTCTGTGGCAGTAAGGAGCACCTTTTTTTTCTTGGACCGTGATTTTTTGGGGAAGATTTGGAAAGCCCTCAAAGTTATCTCAGTGATCAGATACTGTAGGGAATCTTTAAATAAACATCTGAAGGACACAGTTGATAAGATTTACCTTTTTTTAATATCTCCCCTGCAGCACCATGTAATGGGTAACTGGTCTTCAAAAAGAGTTGAAATTTGAAAAGGTTTCTCAAAATGTTAATGCTCTACGACAAGGATTCCTTAAGTGCATGGTACCGAGTCAACCTGCTCTTCATAAACCAATAAAGATGTTCAGTAAACCATTAAAGAGAGCACAGGAAACTGGTTAAGTACTGTACACAAGTATCAGGATATATTTTCTGGCTATGACTATTTCCTAGTCTAGTAAATGGTTTAAAGTAAAACTCTTCTCCCATAAAAGCTGATAGACTTCAGCTATTGACTTCAGTAAAGATTTCTTCCAAGGAAGCCAAACTTCAGCTTAGCTCTCTGGACCCATAAAAATAACAACTGCATACTGGGAGTTACAATTTTGGAAATAATCTATGAAAATGCTGCTAGTGCTTCAGGTTGGGTCTGCAGTGACACAATTCATGAAGCCGCTGTACCTGCTTTGCTCGGTGTAACTGAGATCTTCTTTCCTTTCACACAGCTGTCATGGGCATAATTGACTGCTATCCAGATTGATGCAGATCGCTTCATGTAGAGATTCTTTCGTTCTATCATGATGGAAGATGATGACGTGTTTCGTTGAAAAAGTTTTGGTATTCTGTCCCTTTGGAGAAAAGGAAGCAGAATGTAAAACAAACATTTTATTGGACTAAATTTACTCATTCCTGCCTCAGAACACAATTTTACAGCAATTAATAGTTTTCCAGGTACCTATACACAAAGTTCAGTATCTTGAAATCTTGCAGGTGTGGCCTGAGCAGCTTGAAACAGCAAATGTAATTCCAGTACCCTAGTATATCTAGCGAATTTGCACCTGCAAGTCTTCATTGCATGGTGTTAAATTCCTGAAACTTGCAAGGCACAGCATGATATAAGACAAAATCTGTTTGGCCTTCTTTTGTACTTACAGTGAGATGTAAAGGAGGTATAAAATTAGGTTAGATATTGTTTATAAAGTGTACCTGCCACCTACCATAGGGGCACCTAAAATTCCCCTTGAACAGCAGAATTTCCCAGCTAACTGACTTTAAATTACCAGAAAGGTATGAAAAATTTCTTGCAAGTTATATGCTTGCCTTCTGACTCTGTTCCTTCAAAACATCAGAGTTTGACACATGTATTTAAATGACACCTCAGTTCCTCAGCATTGTAGACTTTTGGTATACCTAATGCACACAGCACAGGAAGTGCAAGAGGTTTATGTCCTCACACAGGAGGTTGTTGCTGTTCTGACTAGGTTTCCTTCCCCATCTCTCTCTCATTTACTCTCTGCCACACAAAATACAGGTTTTTTTTAAGGTTAAAGTTGTGCCAGTTCAATGTTCTTAAAGAAATGTATGAATCCCCTACCTACATATTTCATGTATTAAATGTGCTGATCATGATACAATATTTAATAACTGAACAATACTACTTGAAGGTTTCCCTGTCTTCTGCTTCAGTCTAGCTGTGAATCAGCCATTAATATTTCAAAGCGTGACTTCGAATGCTTGGTTGGAACTTTTCTGTGGGAGTATTTTTCTTTAATCCTTTTCTTCCTGACAACTAAATCATACGGAGCAAGGATAAGGAACAATTTCAATGTCAGGCTGATGTTACCTGCAGAAAGGGGTGATGTCCTCTTCTAGGCAAGCAAAAGCCCTTTCAACCTTTTTTTTTTTGTTTTTCTCTTATCCAAGTAAGGGGTGAAAGGAAGTTTTTCTTTAAGACAACTGCGTTGAAGTGTTGGAGACTGAAGTTCAAGACCTACCTCCGGGTTGGGAAAATCAACCTCTCTATAAGGCAATTGCCTCCCTGCTCTCCTACCCACCTCCTCTTTCACTCATTCTTTTGCCTTCTCTGCTCATAACACCAACCCTGCAGCCTAGGAACAGTACAGTCTGATTTTGGCTGAGGACTCTTACCAGCAACTAGCTTATAAATACTTAGGCTGATAATATCTCTACAGAAGCAGAGCTGTTTCACAGGTGCTTCTCCCCTTTGAAGAAATCAGGACACCTGAAAGCCCCAGGAGGCAAGACAGCAAAAGCAGTGGGATTTGGTGCTTATTGCAGCTTGGCCCCTGATGCTATCTCCAGTGGGAAAATACTGAAGGTCATGGAGGGAACTAACCTCAGCCCTGAGTTGATTGCTTTGCTCCTCTGCAATGTGCAGAAGATCACTCTCGTGAATTTCCCAGTGTAGTGACAATGCTTCTAACCACAGATCTTATTTAAATGCAGAGTGATGGGTTATGTGGCAAAATAATTGGCAATGAGTATCAGAATCTGCCAACGTCATACAATGTGGTACTCTGTGTACCCCATGATATGGTCTCACCGTAAAGATCATCTCATCTGATCTTAGTTCTCTATTTCTAAACATACCTTGATCTTATGAGAGATCCTAAATACGTACCAAAAAATGAGGAAAATCCACTTTGTAATGCAGTTACTGAGACAGAAATCTGCTTACTTTTATTTAACAAACAAATGGACAAGTATTAATTTAATCTGCCCATTTTACTTGGCTTTTTTGTTGTAGATTTCTCAAAGAAGGTAATCAGTTTAAGATTAAGCCTACAAGTTCATTCCACCCATTAAACCAGTACTAGATAACTCAGAATTGCAAGAAAATACTTCAAAATCTGTTATTCTTATGTGCCACATCTGACATCTCCTTGGATACATGGTATAACACAATATATATAGTATAATAAAAACCAGCTTAGTTTTGTTTTTTGTGTGTTTTACATGCATTAGTGTTGAATATTCAATGCAAGTCAATAGATGCAAATGAGAGAAATTGATTAAAGTGCTGTTTGGCAATAGTGTTTCAAACAATGTGTCCGAATAATGGAAAGATGTATAAATGACTCTTTGTAATGCCTTTGCCTGTCAAGATTTTGGTACTGGGGGGACTACGGGGTGGCTCCTGTGAGAACCTGCTAGAAGCCTCCCCTGCATCCAGCAGAGCCGATGCCAGCCAGCTCCAGGATGCGCCCGCTGCTGGCCAACGCTGATCCCACCAGCAATGGTAGCGGGAGCAGAGCTTCCCCTGCAGCCCATGGTGCAGATCGTGGTGAGGTAGCCGTGCCCCTACAGCCCATGGGGGACCTCACACCGGAGCAGGGGTGTAACCCCATGAGAAGCCTGCACTGGAGCAGGCTTCTGGAAGGACCTGTGGCCCCATGGAGAGAGGAGCCAGCACTGGAGCAGGTTTGCTGCAGAACTTGTGACCACACAGGGGGGCCACATTGGAGCAGTTTGCTCCTGAAGGACTGCACTCATGGAAGGGACCCACACTAGAGCAGTTCATGAAGAACTGCAGCCTGTGTGAAGGACTCACACTGAAGTTCATGGAGGATTGTCTCTCGTGGGAGGGATCCCACGCTGGAACAGGAGATGAGTGTGAGCAGAAAGAAGTAGCAGAGACAACATATGATAAGCTTAGTACAACCAACATTCCTATCCCCTTGTGCCGCTGGGGAGGGGAGAAGACAGAGAAATAAGGAGTGAAACTGAACCGAGAAGAAAGGAGGGGTGGAGAGAAGGTGTTCTGATGTTTGGTTTTATTTCTTATTATCCTACTCTGATTTGATTGGTAATAAATTAGATCACTTTCTCCAAGTTGAGGCCGTTTTGACCAGGAAAATCTTGATCCACAAGCTTTTTGTTATATTTTCTTTCCCTTGCCCAGCTAAGGAGGGGGAGTGACAGACCAGCTTTTGTAGGCATCTGATGTGTAGCCAGGGTCAACCCACCATACTCTTACCAAATCAATATGTGCTGATAAAATGTGAAGACAGATTTTGACCAGTATTGTATAACAACTTACAATGTGATGAAATATGTTGGAGCAAAGATCTAGCAAGCAGAAATCATTCTGAATAGCAATGTAACAGCTTTTCGTTTTCTGAAACGACTTTTTAGTCTTACCATTTTAAGAAGATGGTATAATTAATTGTATTCGGAGCACTGGGTACTGGCAGCCAGGTACAGGTTAGATCCTCACTTAATTCTTTGTAGCATACCAACTCATTGTCCCAATCTGCAAGATGAAAATACGAAGACTAGAAAAGTCCCATCACAGGCAACTGCTTACCATTAATCAGTGCAAGGTGATTTGAAGCAAACCCAAATACAAAGCGGGCTATACCCTTCTATGCAACAAAATAAGAACTAGCTATGTGAGTCCTTATACCATGTTTACTCTCAGGCAAGTAGCTCACTAATGTTGAGAACAAGGCACAGAGACATTTAGGAAGATTATTATCAGTCCTAAAGTTTCCAAGTAAAACCTAGTTTTCCTGCATAAAGATAGAAAGGGATAATTCTTCATGTGTGTTATGATGCCATTACCAGCTGTTATGCACCCAACAACATAGTGCTGAAATGCTTGTTGTGGTGTTTCCTCCAGCTTTGCTATGGTTACGTATTTGAACTGTACTTCTCTCCTATGATAGTGACATATTGCTTGCTGCTTGCTTCTGAACTTTATAAAGCTTAATTTTTTTTTTTCCTTTTTTCAGTTCTTAACAAAATATCTGTTATACTGCTGAAAACACTATCACATTTTTTGGCACAAAAACGCAGAAATAAATTGCATGTATTAAAGGAATCGTCAGAGCTTTTGGCATTCTGCTTCAAGGAAAGTTATTGCAAAGTAATCTTGAACCAGATGACAAAATTACTGTGAACATCTGCTGTAAGAGACCTCAGATTTTTATCTCCCATCTTTGCTCTGGTTTCACACTGTTCTCATCTGACACACAGTGCCTGTCATGACACTATGTTTCTGGAAATGCTCAAATGCTTGCTGAAATCTGTACAAAGGTTTGGCTTGTGGTGGGTTACTCTGGGTCTGGGGAGCAAGCCCCTTCTCTGGAGGAGTTGCTGTGACCTGGGAACCCTGGAGAACAGAACCAGGAGCATCTGCCTTGCCTGGAAGTCACTGTTCACCTGCAAGAGCATAAACTGGGATTGGCTCTGCTTGAGCAGCTTACTGAATGTTAAACACAAATTTATAGACATTTCTGAAAGTATAGGCCAGAACTGCCTCACTTCTTTTGTGAAGCATCTTAAAAATTAATTCCGTGCAACTGAGTTGGGGGACAAAAAGGAGTGAAGGACTGCATTTTAGTAACACCAAGGGCCAATGTGATGTTTCAGAAATTTTCAGCTGTCAAGAATTGCTTTGGAATTTCTTGCAAAGCATTATACACTGCAGCGTAGGGCTAATTCTCAACAGTAGAACCAACTGGCTAGGTTCCAAAATCACTCCAAACCCATCAGTCATCTCTATCCAGAGTTCAGAATAATGCACTATTGCTGGAAAAAAACAGTATGTCTCTTACACTACCAGCTTCATAAAGATCACATTATAAAGTAGTAGTAGCATAAGTTTATATACAAAATGATTTGTGCTTAATTTTTTGAAAGAAAAATATGGGAGTTTTATGCAACTGAACATACACATTTTTCAGCTGAAGGAAAGCAAAACACTGATGACATTCTTAAAGGAACTGATTTTTGGTCTTTAGCGGTTAAGCTTATTTCTGTTTCAAAAATCTCTTATCAGTAACAGTAATGATAAAATATGACTGTTATGCTTTTGCTCTACACCTTACTGTCTGAACTGTTAGTTCAGAAGAATCAGCTATGATGTCTTAAAGTACCACCCACACCTTTACAAAAAGACCCTGTTTTTTTTTCTCTTCAGAAAAGTAGATAGGGATCTCAACAGGTACGGGATACTTAAGGTGATAAAAATGAATTTTTCTTGATAAGTAGACTCACATGTCCTTTGTTTCTCTTAGGCTTCATGAGTTGCCAATAGACCTGTCAATTTTGACTAAGAAATATTTTGCTACTGAGTAAGTAACTATGCATATCTCTGAAGTTGGTGTCACAGCATAGTTATGGCTATGAAATAAAATTTCATTCCTCCTCTTTTCCACAGTCAGAGCATCCCCAGTATTCTTTTCATCATTCAAATAGCAGCTGTCTATTTAAAAGTTTATTTGGACAAAAAAGAGTGTCAGATGAGTACAGCTCAGACTTTAGTACTCTCACTCTATGTCACTTCCTCTCTCGTACTAAAAGAAATGTGCTGTTCTAATAAAGCTATGCTGCATCAGTTTAGATGTGTGCAACTTTCTTTCAGGAAGGTGGAGATCAGTTTTTCCTTGTTTCTACAGCAATGTGAATAATTATTGAATTCTTTGCTTTCCTACCCTGATGACCAGCCACATCTTGGCTGTCTCACCCATAGACATAGTGCTCTAAAAACTGGGGAAAGTGGCAACTGCTCTCATATTCTTCTGTTTTACTCTGGATTAAGCCTTTCATTTATTTTGTGTTTCTTTTTTTGTTCTTTTTCTCTAAAATAAACACCTGAAAATAAATGCTTTTTGGAACTGCTGTAATACTTTATGCCAATATATTTGTAACATACTGCTTCCAAAACTACTTGAAATAACAGTTTTCGAGAGAATAACAAGAAGGAAATATTTTGACTCTTCCACTAAATTTCTACTAACTTCTTCCTCAAATAATTTCTATTAACTGAGATCCAAATGGTTACCACAGTGTTGCAGACATCTGCTTACAGAACAAGGGGGGTTGTATTTTCCCTCATGCTCCCAGTCTTCCAAAAAACCTCTGGCTTTCTCTATGAGATGATGGTGTTAGAACAGACAAAGATAAAAATAAGATTCTATATATGGAAATAGTGTGTAAGCTCAACTAACACGTTGATGCACTACCCTACTGCCAATATACTAAATTCTCTGTTACTTTCTCCAGATGAACATACTGAATGCTACACACTTTGTTTTCACTTGTTCTATTTGTGGGAGTTAGTCCATGTGCATATTCAGTTCTGTCCTAGTGCTTTTTTTTTGTTTGTTTTATTATGCTGCTTCCACTTAAAGAACATGTCTATTATTAGTACTTCCCAGACTAAGAACGGTACTAGTCCTGTATCATGACTGTGCTCCAAGAGCTATGCGAAGAAAGAAAAAACTTGTTCTCTGTTCTAAAGACATCTCAATCAGTTTCTTTTTCTTTAGAAAAGAATAATAACATCCACTGAAATGCATTGGGCTGGCCCTTTTTGCCATTAACAGTAATGTATCAGTTAAATGTAAGGCATCGACAATTATCACACATAAACATTACACTGCACTGTCTTTTGAAACTGCTGTTGCTTTTGAGACTAACTGTTTCAAGACAGTGTGAGGTGGTCCCAGCTCCATCTCAACAGGCAGGGTCCCTGGTGGCTGCACACAAGGGTGCTGGTGCCATCCCTTTGCCCCTTGATCAGTCCATCCAGCAGGGTCCCCATTCAACAGTGATGTTCATCTGTGCAATTAAGTAAGATATTATTTGAGAAGTATTTACCCACCTGGGAGCTGCTGGCAGAATGGGAAACCCTGGGTCATAGAGCTGCAGGAATCTGAGAAATAAAAAGCTATTGTTCAACAAGATAACGGCAACAGAGATAGCAAAATAAATGTTACTGGCTGTTGTTTCTTCCACCTACAGAAATTAATTCAGTCATGATTTTGGCTATACAGCCTTGTCTTTGAGTGACATTAAGAATTTTTACTATTTATAAACATTAGCAAGTTATGCAGCACATAAAAGCTTACCTGTTGCAAATAAAAAGATAGCAGCAAGCAGAGAGTTGTTCATCTTCTCTGTGAAGAAGCATAATGATTACAATCAACATTACAGTCTTCAGTCTGTTTTTCACACTTCCTCTTCAGACTTCCTATTTATTCATCTCCCTATACTGTTACTGGCTGAACACAACTAATGGGTTTATTAATGACAATGTGAGAGACACTTGACCTCTAAGTTATTAATTATACTTATGAAATCCCAACAACCCCTTGGAGAAAAAGAAACTTTCCCCCTTGGTGTTTGTGGAAAGTCACAGATTTTAACAGTGTCTGAGGTATCAGTGGTGCAATTGAATTACTTATATGGGTATTATATATGAATAATATGAATTAATATGAAATAATATGAATTAAGCTTATACAGGTACTTCAAAATCCTTTGAAAATCCTAGCCTAAATGTCAATGCTGTAATCAGTTGATATCAGCAAAAAGTAAACTTGGCTAGGGGTGTTAAAGATAACAGGAAGGGATTCTTTAGGTACATTGCAAATAAAAGACAGAGTAGGGGAAAACATGGGCCCTCTCCGGAAGCTATTAGCAGAACTGGCTACCCTGGATTTGGAGAAGGCTGAGGTTCTGAATGACTTCTTTGCCTCAGTCTTCACTGGCAAATGCTCTGACCACGTCACCCAAGTCTTGGAAGGCAGACTCAGGGACTGTGAGAATGAAGACTTAGGCCCAGTCTGGGAGAGGATCTGGTTCAAGACCATCTTAAGAACCTGAATGTGTGCAAGTCCATGCGACCTGATGAAATCCATCCGTGGATCTTGAAGGAGCTGGCAAATGAAGTTGCTAAGCCATTGTCCATTATATTTGAAAAATCATGGCAGTCAGGTGAAGTTCCCAATGACTGGAAAAAGGGAAATATAACCCCCATTTTCAAGAAGGTGAAAACGGATGACCCAGGGAACTACAGACCAGTCAGTCTCACCTCTGTGCCTGGCAAAATCTTGGAGCAGATTCTCCTGGAAGGCATGCTAAGGCACATGAAAAAAACCAAGGTGCTTGGTGACAGCCAGCATGGCTTCACTAAGGGGAAATCCTGTCTGACTGATTTGGTGACCTTCTATGATGGGGCTATGGAACTGATGGACAGGGGTAGAGCACTCAACATCATCTACCTGGACTTGTGCAAAGCATTCGACACTGTCCCACATGACATCCTTGTCTCTAAATTGGAGAGACATCAATTTGATAGATGGACCACTCGGTGGATAAAGAACTGGCTGGATGGCCACACACAGGGAGTTGTCAATGGCTCAGTGTCCAGCTGGAGACCAGTAACGAGTGGTGTCCCTCAGGGATCGGTGTTGGGACCGGTCTTGTTCAACATCTTTGTCGCTGACATGGACAGTGGGATTGAGTGCGCCCTCAGCAAGTTTGCCGATGACACCAAGCTGTGTGGTTCGGTTGATACGCTGGAGGGAAGGAATGCCATCCAGAGGGACCTTGACACGCTTGTGAGGTGGGCTGATGCCAGCCTCATGAAGTTTAACCATGCCAAGTGCAAGGTCCTACACCTGGGTCAGAGCAATCCCAGGCACAGCTACAGGTTGGGCAGAGAAGAGATTGAGAGCAGCCCTGTGGAGAAGGACTTGGGGGTGTTGGTTGATGAGAAAATGAACATGAGCCAGCTGCCTTCACTGTGCACTCACAGCCCAGAAAGCCAACCATATCCTGCGCTGTGTCGAAAGGAGTGTGACCAGCAAGTCGAAGGAGGTGATCCTGCCCCTCTGCTCTGCTCTCCCCTGGAGTATTGTGTGCAGTTCTGGTGTCCTCAACATAAAAAGGACATGGAACTGTTGGAACAAGTCCAGAGAAGGGCAAAGAGGATGATCAGGGGACTGGAGCACCTCCTGTATGAAGACAGGCTGAGGAAGTTGGGGCTGTTCAGCCTGGAGAAGAGAAGGCTGCGTGGAGACCTCATAGCAGCCTTCCAGTATCTGAAGGGGGGATTTAGGGATGCTGGGGAGGGACTCTTCATTAGGAACTGTGTGGCAGCACAAGGGGTAACAGGTTCAAACTTAAACAGGGGAAGTTTATATTGGGTATAAGGAAGAAATTCTTTACGGTGAGGGTGGTGAGGCACTGGAATAGGTTGCCCAGGGAGGTTGTGAATGCTCCATCCCCGGCGGTGTTCAAGGCCAGGTTGTACAGAGCCTTGGGTGGCATAGTTTAGTGTGGGGTGTCCCTGCCCATGGCATGGAGGGTTGGAACTAGATGATCTTAAGGTCCTTTCCAACCCTAACTATTCTATGATTCTGATTCTGTAAGTCAAGATGTTTGACATATGAATGGTTGGATACTGTAGAAATGATAGCAGCAGAAGATCATGCCAGTCTTCACTTTCTGACTTTTTTTCCCATTCAGTGTATTTTCAGGACTGGAAAGATGCTGTATATCTACATTGTTGGTACCAACACTGGAAGCCCTAACGTAGACAAAAATCACCATAGCTGTAAATCCAGTGTGATTATAAACCTTGCATCCATGAAATCTGGTCAGAGACTGTTTAAAATTACTCTGGACACAGAAGCCACCAGAGCCACAACAGCTGCTGCTGCTGAAACAGTAAAGGGAAATTTTCAGAAAATTTCACTACTGTGGGAAATTCCCCCTGGGTTTAGATAGCTGCAATCAGAGACTATCTGGTGATAGGCAAATTATTAACTTATCTTGGCAACTCTGGTATATGTCAAGTTGAATATTGAATATATGTATATGTAAAAATCTGTTTAAAATGAATCAGTTAAGGAGAGTTATGGGCATAATTCTGAGCCTGGTCTACAGTAAGAGTGGGTGACTAATACATCAGCTATATCTTATCAGATTTTCTGAAGAGCACAATTATGAAATGCAAGAGAACAAGGAACTTGCGTGGAGACCTCATAGCAGCCTTCCAGTATCTGAAAGGGGCCTTTAAGGATGCTGGGGAGGGACTCTTCATCAGGGGCTGTAGTGGCAGGACAAGAGGTAACAGGTTCAAACTTAAACAGGGGAAGTTTAGATTGGATATAAGGAGGAAGTTCTTTATTGTGAGGGTGGTGAGGCACTGGAATGGGTTGCCCAGGGAGGTTGTGAATGCTCCATCCCTGGCGGTGTTCAAGACCAGGTTGGGCAGATGCTTGGGTGGCCTTGTTTTGTGTGAGGTGTCTTTGCCCACGGCAGGGGGGTTGGAACTAGATGATCTTAAGGTCATTTCCAACCCAAACCATCCTATGATTCTATGATTCTATGTAACTGAGTGACCCAAAAGCCAGCCTTGCTAATGCTTCCCACAAAGAACAGCCAAGAGGATAGTGTTAATTTATGAGCAGTAAGGAAAAACTGACAAGAAGAAAAAAAAAAAAAAGGAAGTCATATGTGAGAGAGATTTTGACTGTGAGGGTTGAAGAGTTAGAGACTCAGAGTAGCACAGAATTCAAGAGATGGAGAAAACTACATCACATCTATGTATTGGTTTGATGTGATCAGGATAATCACATTTAAAATAACCTATCCCAAGCAAAAAACATCTAAATATTTCAACGCTAGAGCAGAAACTGGATTCAGCCTGCATAGTATTAAGAGAGAGCATACCGGAGAGAAATAAACCTAATAAGGCAAGTCCATATCATCTTTGCTGGAGCTCTAGGTCTCTGTATGAATATTACTGTCATTTAAATTAGAAAGTCTATTGTAACAAATACAGAAAATACATTGCCAATCAAAACAGCAGAGGAGATGATAGAATCTTGAAAACTAGAATGTATCATAGGGGTAAGAAACTTTTTTAATTATAGCTCAGCTATCAAGTTGCTGTAGTAACCTTTTAATGTATAACAAAAACTGGAATATTATTTTTGAGGTAACTTTTGAATAAAAACACTTTTTCAGAAGTTTAGTATTTCAGGTCTTTCACCTCTATGGACATGTATCATAGTTGTAAATGCTGTAAATTTCCTGCTATTCTGGTGAGGCTAAACTGTGCCATCTTCTGTGATGTGCTCGAAAGTGCAGAATAACTGGAGGATACCACCAACTTCACTTAATTTTTGATATAAATGGTTTCTCAGTCCCAGGTTTATGTATTGCTCCAGATGTAGTTTTCTCTAAATGCTTTTCCTTGCCACTTGCTTATTTAAGTTCTGCGGTAAAAGACATGGGGGCTCTTGGTCTCTCCAAAATGCAGTCTTGAAATAAATGAATTTTTCTATTTAGACTGGATTACACCATGTAAATTAATAGAAAACCTGCAGTGTCCTTCTCTGTTTCCTGCTCCAAGTTTAAGTGTTAACTGTTACGCTTCGAAGAAGAATAACCTCAGAAGACAGGTGAACGCAGGGATTAACATGCTGTCATCTCCCTTGTCCTGTTCCATCCCTGTGGAGCTCCACCTCTTGTAGCTTTGCACATCGCACGAGGACTGGTCAGGCTGTGAGCTTGTGAGTGCACTTATTGCAGGTGACCTTTGAGCCCACGAATGTTAATGAACCAGAAAGAGTCTCAGATCTTGTTTGCTCAGAGTCCTAAATATATCCCAAGAAAGTCTGGATTATGTGCAACCAGTACTCTTGTTAAAGTGCAGTCAGAACTCAGTGGGCAGCAGAAGCAGGATGTAAACTGCAGAGGTATCACATCAGGAGAGGAATACTGCATTTCTGTGTGACATCTTACCTGGTCTGAAGTGCTAATTAGTGAGGTTGCATTTTTGTTAGCTCGCTCTTTCTGTGGTGAAAAGTCCAGTTCCAGTTGACTACAGTTGATCTGTTTCAGGCATATTGTAAGACATTCAATATTGTAGCAAATTCAAATTAAATTTTGGCCTATTAGTAGCACATTCTGAAGTCCTGCATCTTTCCTTGTGGATTTACAGTTGAGCTACAATACTTTTCACAAGTCTCTTCTGCTGTAACAGCTTCCGATAAGCAGACCTCCAGCTTTGTAAATGATCTAACAGATACTTGCAGAGTGGTTTTTTGCTAGAGAAGTACATGAGTATCTAATTCAAAGAGCAATTTTCATATGGC